CACAAGCGATTTCATCCATTTGCGACACCTCAAGGTCACGGTTCAAGACCCCCAACTCCCAACACGCCCGCCTATTTCAGCGACTGTGACAGCCTGCCATCCCCCCAACCCCCCAGCCTCAGGAAGTAGGCCTGGAAAAGGTTGTGCTCCCCGAAGTGGACAGCCCGAGAGGGGTGGGGCTGCCATATCCTCAAGCTCCGACCCGCTGCTCCATAAGATCGGCTTCTGTGACATTCGGATCAGACTCCCTGCAGCGGCCCTCCCCTCTCTGAAACACCTCAACTATAATGCCAGGCATGTCCGATCGCTTTAGCGTCAAAGTGCCCACAACTCCCCTCGCCCCCCGGCCCTGCTCTCCCCCCAAAGGGATGCGGCAGGAACGGTCCAATCCCTGTCTCCTTTCGCCCTTCGTGTTTCTGGGCAATTCCTGGGCCCGGGACGACCCGTCCGGCTCTTGAGCCGTGACCGTGTGACTTTGAAGGGGCTGGGAGTGGCATATACGCTCCCATCACAAACGTGCGTGCCGGTCGGAGAGGCAGATGGGGGGAGCGGGGCCTCCACGCAGATGGCAGGAAGTCGACCGCCTGCCAGACGACAAACATTACGGCTTTTCAGCTCTGAGTGTTTCGGTTGTCTATGTGACTGGTGAAAAAAATGAAACACAAATAAACACACAAAAAAGAAATGATAACATCAACAGCTACCACGGAAAGTTATTATTTTTTCATTCGTACAAGAGGGTTGTTAAATTTTTAACGCCTGACAACAGAGCTGACGGATGAAGGAGACGCAGTCAAGCTGACTGAGCAGATTGGCAGCCCTCTGTGTTTCTGATCCAAAGCAGGCCTGGACCCCAGGAGCCGTGCCTGGTCTGGGCCGAAATCGCCCCCATCCCAGAACCCTGGGAGCAGAGAAGCGGGCTGGAGGGGGGTGGGATGGGGAGAAGGGGGTTTGGAGGGTATTTTGGCGGGCTCGGCTGTTCTGAGAAGCTTTCTGTCGAACGGCTCATTTGCAGGAAAGGGGAGAATCGCAACCGAGAACATTCTGTTGTCCTTGGCGGGCTGGCGCTAGTCCCGCACATACGAGCAGCGGCCGCGCTCCAGCTGTACCATACGTCCAGATTGGGCACGGCGGTCCGGTGCTGTCACACCGAGATTAAGCGAAAACGTTCTCTGGTAACAGACAAATGAGTCGCGGCGAGTCTCCGGCACGTAAGAAATCTGGGAACACGGGGAAAAAAAAACAAACAAATCAATAAACGAACCGCACAAAATCAGGCCCTTCCTTTCTGGAAAGGCCTCACCAAATTTCCCGCTTTGTTGATCTTTTGTTGTTTCCGAGTCCAGATGGGTCATTTGAAGCATCCCGAGAGAGATTTATCGTCCTTTTCCTAAGTTACTTAAAAAGCACAGCAGAAACCCTTTGCTGCATTTATACGGAATATACAGGGGAGAGGCTCTCAGTCTTAGTTTCGATGTGTCGGGATAATACAGATATGCTTTTAAAAAATCCATTCAGCTAGAAGAGCTTATAACCAATTCAGTGGAGGGTTAGGTGCCAGGCACAAACCCCTGTGCTTTTGTTCAAACATATGGCAGCTGCATGATTGATGCATGGATGTAATAAAAATACAATAGGCGTGTATGTAGAATATGTCTAAATATGTGTATATTACATATGTAAGTATTAAATACTGACACAACATACACAACAGTTGTTCAGGTCTCCTAATAAAAATATTGCAGACCAAAACAGCAGCAGGTTAATAATTAAACATGAAGCACAGCTCAGAAAAAAAGAGTATCTGGTTCACGAGCTGTTCTTAGGGAACCTTTCCTCTCCGCTCAGCGAGTGACACGGGGAGCGAGAAGGCGCTCATCCCAGGCCGATTCCCATTAGGATCACGCACCGCAGTCCGTCCAGTTCCTGCCCTCTTCAGGTAAAAGCACCCCCCAGTGCCACGGAACAGACCCCGGGGGTGAGAGGTAGGAAGGGAAGGAGGTGGGTCCTCAGGATTCTGTGACCCTCCCAGTCAACGATCACATGACATACTATACGGTGAACTGCCATCCCATAATACCCCAGCGGCCACCTCCCATACTCCCACACCTCAAAACCTGCAGTCTTAACAGTCACGACAGTTCCCCTACAGCCAGGGGTTGGGGTCGGGGTTGGGGTTGGGGTCGGGGTCGGGGGGGGGAGAATGTACCACGTGATATATTCTGACCTTCGCCCTCCCTAGTCAGGTAGGATGCAGACCACTTCCGCAGGAGTCTGGCCCCTCGACACGCACCAACAGTGAAAAAGACTTTGCCGCAGAAGTCGTCTTTAATTTCAAAAGAATCTGCAGTTTCTTTAAAAAAGAAAAAAAAAAGTCCCGTTACTGTTTCACGACCTCGTCGTAGTCAGATGATGGGAATTTACAGCGCGGCTTGGAGAGCCTGAGCCACCCCTCATTTCCTGTGGACCTCCAAAAAAACAAAGCAGAAGAAATGCATATGACGGGGGCGGTTGGGGGCAGTTGGGGGTTGGTGTAGCCGTTTGGTATTTTTTTTTACATCCCAAATCACAAAAGACAGTGTCCAGAATCTGTGGCGGAACAGCACAGATTAAAATGCCTTTCTCCTTGTTCTAGGCAACGCTGTGGCATGACATCATTTAGTTTCGAGTCCCGGTCTGAGCCCCCCCGTTATAATTCTGATTGCTGGTATTCGCAAATCACGGTCAAAATAATGTCTTTCTGTCACTTCTGAGGCCAGCAAAGGTGCCCTGGCAGACAGTCTGCAGTCACATCTGTCTGCAGTCAACATTTGGCAGCGGCAGAACTACGTTGTTTATAAACAATAAAACAAACGGAACAACACGAGGTACAGAGGATTTTTTGATCGCCTATCTTTTTGTCTGGATCATCACGCTGCACGGGTTTCATGGTTTCTTCAGTCACGTTCAGGGTGGCGGTGTGCTGCTCAGCTGGGTAGAACATTGGACCTTTGATCGAAAGGTCACAGGTTCCAATCCCTGGTGTCAGTGAAGTGGTCCACTGGCGGGTCCTTTTTGGAAAAAAACATCTGCTATATAAAAAAAGGGTAACACTTTGCATTAATGACACCTTCATAATGCCTTCATAATGCATTCATAGTGCATTCATAAACAGCATGTTCGTATGCCTTAATATCCTAACAGCTTTAATATACATTAGTAACACAAATTATATGAGCATACGATGATAATTTTTGCTATATGATGTTTGTTATTGATGTTAAGGCTATGCTGCTTATGAATGTTCTGTCTATGCATTATAAAGGCATTATGAAGGTGCAGTTAATGAAAAGTGTTACCAAAAAAGTAAATGTATGTGAACAATAAAGTTGCACCTTCAAAAATGAAGCACTGTGAGCTGGTCTGTTAACTGCACCGACTATGTGGTCACAAGGTCCGGCGGGCGGGGAGACGGACTACAGCTGGGCCGAACTCACGATCCGCTCAGCCTAAACTCTGCCGAGCCCTTTCCCGGGCCGGAGCTGTGGCACAGGTGCTGGAAGTCCACACTGACCCCACACGTGGTGCGGGAGGTCGCCCCAGAAACATGCCCGCCGCTCGTGGCTGTACGCATTAGGTCATTACTTACTCCCTGTAGAGGCGAAGCAACAAACCTCGCTATAGTACCTTTCATCTCCGCTTTGGGGGAGAGAAAGAAGCAACTGTTATTTCTTCTAAATGGTTCCCGTCGATAAATCAGCTCCTTAATTAGCCGGCAAAACAATTAAGCAGCGTGACAATTTAGAGTTTTGGAAACAATCACCACAATTAAGCCCCCGTAACGAGCGACGGAGCAGTAGGGCTTTTAAACGTAATTAAGGCTAATCAAACGATGGAATAACAGTGGTAATAAAACGCAGAGTGAGGAATACAGCCGCCTAACTAAACACGGTACCTGCACAAAATCTGGACCTGTCCCTCAAAGGACACTGAGGGGGGCGGCCTTCCTCTGTTTTTCCTGAACCCCCCCACTTTTTATCTGCGTATATATTCCGGCCCACTTAAAATGAAATGAGGGATGTAAAAAAAAAAAAAAAACAGGCTTTTTATACCATTTCGCGCAATGTTGTTTCTTTAAAGGGGAGTCCGTCATTTTTAGGGGTTGAACAAAACGAAAAAAAAGGATGTGTACCATGTGTGAGCTCAGCGCTGGCAGCCGAAGCCGCTTACGGGACAGGCGGCTGTGTTCATGAGGAAAAAATTAGCCCGGCGCTCCTCGGTGCTCACTGATTGGCTGCCGGAGTGGACCGCTCCGTTTGAGAGCACCCCAGACATTCCAGCGGATAATCTTTTCCATTCCTCCGTTACTCTCCACTCCGAGAGACAGAATCACAGCACAAGGCCTGCTTTGTGTGCCCCCCCCCCCAAAAACTTGTTTTTCACTCTCCTGTACGAGGTCCTATCCAAAACTTGTTCTTTTTAGACTAAAAAGAAAAACTTAAACAAACGGTTGCCTTTTTAGAGATGGTTAAAAGCATGGATATTTCACTTCTTGTGGTTCTTTCTGGAACCAGTACTTATTTTTTTGGTGAGTGAAAGCAATGTAGAAAAAAAAAAAAAAACTCCACTAAAGTCGACCTCGGCTGCAACAGTAAAATGGCCCCAGTTCGCATGAGGGAGGCTGGATCAGCCCTGTGGAAATCTGCTTTCACAGAGTCCTCAACTTTTGTCCTTCACGGAGGGTGCCCACGATACAGTACCTCACAGTTTAAGTGTGGTGGGGCAGATTTACAGCAACACGATGCTTAATTAGAGAAGCCACTATAACGTCCGCCTGTAAACTTCAAGGATCCCGGCTCCTCGAACCCACGGTGCACCCGGTAGAGAAACCACAGTATTTCCACAGGCCCCAGCTAATCATAACACCCTGCATCTAAACTGCAAAAGAGCATTTTACACGTTTATTTTAACGCTCCGCTTGTGAGCCGTTATGGGCTGTGAAAGGGGGAGTGCCTGTTCACCTTTGTCTCGGAGGGCACCAGCGCAGGCGGGCGGGCACCAAGCAAGGGCCTCGACACGTGGGTAAGCCCTCCTCCAATCAGCGGAAAAGACGTCACGCGGTCCGCCGGCGGTATGCGGTCGTGTTTCTGGTGATAGTAACACAGCTTTGGTTATAATGACAAAATGTTTTGAACAAGATTATTTTCTTTAAGCAAACTTTTTCAATACCCAGACAAGGTGGTTTTGGAGCATTTCTCCACTGACCTCGGATTATTCAGAGAATGCTTCTTCAGCTGGGAAAAACATTTTTATTCAGCAGGTAAAAAGATTATTATTAATAATAATAATAATAATAATAATAATAATAATAATAATATCTTTTGGTTCATTTGTTGTGTTGTGGATTGCCAAAACTAGAATAATAATAATGAAATGAATCATTTAAAAATAAATTAAAAGTTAATAACTCACTGCTGAGGGAAAACTGACCCCCCATGTGTCATGACAAAGAGATTCTCTGTAACACAGCTACAGAAATACTCACACATCAGAATATATCATTCCAGAAACACGCGTGACACATCAATGCTGTATTAAGACAAATATTCTGCAGGTCAAGAAACACACAGAGTACATCAGGGGTCAAAATCACTGCTGACATTCAGACCATATTACCAGTGTTTTTAGACACACAAAACACAGGCAGATAATGTGAGTGAAACAGCCATGAATGGGGAGGTAGAAAGTCAGAGGCCAATTGACCAGATGACCCCCTCAGCACTAAGAGACCCCACACTGGCTTATCCTGTCCGCATCTCACCGGTACCAATCTCTGGCACTAAGGGTCAGCCAAAGGTCACAGTTGTAGCAAAACAGGCCTTGGTGACCCCCCCCCAAATGAAGAAAATTGAAGTGCAGAGCTGTGGTACCGCCAGTGTGACACTCTCCCCAGTTTCACTGCTGACTCGAAGCTATCAATTACAACGAAAAATCACTGAACATCTGTAAGTGTCACCAGTGGAATGGTCCAGTACAGAGACCAACCAGGCACTGAGACCAGCCAACATCTGTCCTGCAATCAATCATCAGTTATTACTTTACATTCAGTTGCTTTTCATACTTAGACCAGTTTATTCAGACTGGCCCCTACTGGTTAAGCACCTTCATTGGGAGCTTGACAGCTGGAATCTGACTGGGGAGGGTTTCGACTACTGAGTGATCAGCTCGGGGATGATGGGGGTCATACAGAGCTTCTGAAACCCTGGACTGTACATCCATGGTCCCAGAAAGTTTTAATATTTTAACCAAATTTAGGATGTTTTTTTGTCAAGATTTCTTTGTTATAAGAACACAAAATGAAGTAGAAAATGTTTTTGTTTCTCATACAGTAATAATAGCTCACATGGTTGTCGGGTCATGACACATGTGGATGTGTCACGTCTCTATAGCAACCAGTCTCCGCCTTAAGACCTTGTAGCGATAAGGCAGGGCTGTTGCTAAGCGAGTACGCCACTTAGTGCCGTGTGACATTTAGAATGATAGAGCAGGCTGAGGAGCGAAGGTGATGATTAGCCAGTTGGCCTGGGTGGGTGGGGGCGTGTAAGAGGTGTAGGTGGGGGGGTGTAATACCTGTGGATATGCGGCGCTGGTGAAGCGGGCACATGCCGCTGAAGCAGGAACAGGCCTCCCCCGGCCGTCCGCACTGGGAGGGTGCCGCTAGTGAGCACTGGGGCTTCAGAAACCCTGTGGGGGGAGACGAGAACAGGTCAGAGATGAGAGATGGGAGGAGAGAGAGAGAGAGAGAGATAGAAAGAGAGAGAGAGATTAGAAAGTGGGAAGTGTCACTTTTTAGGTAAAGAAGAGGAGCATTCATCACACTCTCAAGCCTTGACCCCCAGCCTGTCTAATTTCTCAAATTTATTGCCCCCGCCCCACCCCCACCACTGCCAGTAGGGGACACCCCCGTTCAGGGGTTAGGAGAGGCAGCCCGGGAGAGAAGGCTGAATGCCAAGCAAGCAGGCTCTGTGGGGCAAAGGGGGGCAAATGGCCAGGGAGGCCATTATCTGACACAACAGGTCACCCCCCCCCTCCCCCGCCACCCACAGCACCACCTTCAACTCAATGCTGACAGACCCAACTGAACTTTAACCCTCACGCNCCCACCAGGCTCTGCTCCCATGCCCCGTTTTCATGCCCCCACCCTCGATGCCATTGTCCTCGACACCTCTGCACCGCGAATGGCAGACAGGGGGCAGCACAGAGGGCAGTACAGGCTTTGCCCAACCTCCACGCTGAAGCAGGGATACTTAAAAAAAAATACCCCCTACCCCCCACCCTAAGTAAAACACCCACCATTTCCTCTGGGTAAAACCCTGTCACTCTGCATGGGCTCAGCAGGTGACATTTAAAGCAGGCTCAGGGACTGTGAAGAACTCTGGCTGGGGGGGGGGAGGATGCTGTCAGGCATATTCCTCGAAGCTTTGATTAAAATCTTAAAAAACAGCGGCAGGGGACTCCGGCACGCCACAGACGCAGAGAGGCGTCGCAGAAGGACCACGCGAGTGGCCCCCCCCACACGTGGCCGCGGGAGGCTGCCGGCCGCCGAATACGCCCGGAGACGGGGGCCCCTATATTTCAAACGGTGCTTTTCTGCTGGTTTTCCTTTCCCGAAAGAGTGAGCTGTGTCTGAGTGGCTGATTTTTTTTTTGGGGGGAGGGGGCAGTGGGGGAAAAAAACATCAGTAGAAAGACAAACTGAGGTGGCCATTAGTCAGAACCAGGACACATTTGGGCCTAAATCCTGGGCTAAGTTGCCCCCCACCGCCCATCACAAGCCTAAATCCCAGGCTAACTCACCCCCCCCCTAAATCTCTGGATAACTTGCTCCCCCCATTCCAAACCTAAATCCCTGGCTGACTTGCCCCCCAGGGCTGACGATGACGGAGAGCACATGGCTGGCTCATGTGTCTGCCAGTGATATGATATGATAGGCTGTCTCCGCGGTAACAGTCACCCAGGTGTCACTTATATGAGGGGGGTTATTGTTTAGATGGGGACTGGCTCACCTGCCTCTGGACCTGACGTTCCCTTACAAGCTCCATCCAAAATCATCGATGCCAAGGCACGGTACCTCGAAACAACCTGACGCAAGCCCTGCATCCTGAACGTTTCTCCTTTATTTGACTCAGAGCCATTATTTGACGCTCCAGCCATACACAAACACGACCCCCCACACCTGAACTACACTTATAGTCCCCAGACACACTGTGTTTCAGAACCCAGTCTTCGGGGACCCCCAGACAGTCCACATTTTTGCTCCCTCCCACCTGTACCAGGCATTCTGTGTTCTCCATTGGCTGGAAGCAGGGAGGGAGCGAAAACGTGGACTGGCCGACGGTCTCCAAAGACTGGGTTGAGATACAAAGCTCTACAGGATAAGGATCGGATCCTATGCCCAGCCAATCCCTAACATGCTCGGATGTAGGCATGCAAATTGCGCATAGATCATGGCTTCTTCCACGCAGCAGAACTCAAAGGGTAACCGGTCCGGCCGGTTCCGGCAGCGGCCCGGAAGATTGCAATCCAGGGGAACCAGTGGAGAGCAGCACGCCGAGCCAGAGCGTCGCTGAATCAAGGAAATGCATACGGCAAAGTCACAGACGGAGCAGAAACGCTTAAAAATGCGACATACAAACCACAGCATCACAGAAGCAGTCACACCAAGGACAAGTCTGTATCTCTGGACCCAAATCCCTATGGCGCAGAAGCTACGAGGTGTTCAGAATAGGGCTGGCAAACTTCCTGCCTAATTTCAACTGTGTGCATGCATATATGTATATAATTTTAATATTAAATTATTATGTGCAGAGATTCACTGGAAAAAAATGCAGCTCGGGTAGCGGCAGGGAGAATGAAGATCAGCAGTGTGGAAATTATGTGGGTCAAGGTGAGTCACTGTGCTGGCGGAGGGGGGGGGGGGGGGCTTTCCCCTCCGGAGGGGTAGTGAGGTTGGACCACGGAAGCTTTACGCTAACATCATAAAGGTCGGAAACTGGGTGACCATTTAAATGATCATTCTCGTGAACTGACAGGAAACGATAGAATAAAAATTCACTGTAAAAGTTTCCCAAACCATATTTATTGTTATATGTACAATGAACACTGACAAATTAACCCAAATTCTGTAACTGATTATGGCAACCTTCTGGAGAATCCAGCCACTCAGCTAATCAACAGTCTCCATGTCTCGATCTTATTTACATTTTTATCCAAAGCCTTGTATATTTTTTGAGAAAGCAGCGTCAGATGGCCCGTGGAGCGACTGGGAGTTAAGGACCTTGGTCAGGGGCAGGGGGAGAAGATTGGTCTCACACAAGGGGGGTTAGAGTGATGGCGGGAGGGGGGGTTCCCTTGTCAATTTTGCAGTGAAGGGCTTGGGGCCAAATGTCCCTTCGGTTGCCGCCCCCCCTCCTCTCCTACAGGGAGGACACAACTTAATACTTTTAATTCAAAGGTCTAATTATTGGAGGGGATGCAAGAAACCAACACCCAGCTCAGAGACCCATCCAAATCAACCCTCCAACTGCGGGACTTGAACCGATGACCCTCCAAACACAGAAACAGCTTCCAAACCCACAGAGCCACAGACTACCCTAATTTTCCAGCCACTCATCTAACACAGGGGCTTGGAGAGCCAAGCGGCACAAGACACATGGTAGGGAACGCCCCCCCCAGACAGGACGGCAGCCTGCTGCGGGGCTGTGAACCAAAAGCGGAGAGAGAGCCTGGGGGTCTGACGGTCATCTGAGGAACGACAGGATCACGTGGATGATCAGCCCTGCAACTTCAACCTCTCCCTGTCTTCGTTTTTTTTCATAGAAGAAAGACGTGGCCAAGCATGATCAATGGGACACCCCCCCCCCCACTCCTTAGAACACCAGCCTCATGGCTACACAAAGAATCAGTCCGAAATACTGCCATTCTGTACAAACTTGTTAACCAGCTCTTGCGCGAAGCAGATCTTTATCTCTGTGAAAGGGGAACCAGTTTCTGCTCCGTCTCCCAGCAATAGCTGCAGGAAAGGCAGCGACGGTGGGAAACGTGCGCATGCAGGTCCACCTGGCCACGCCTGGACTGGTGGCGAGAGGAAGTTTAATGATCCTTCTAGCTCTCTGATTGGCTCTCTGAGTCCTGTGCACCTCTTGGCTTGATACAGATGCTTGCTTGGTAAAACCAGATTAGATCTTTTAATTTTGTTTCATTTAGTTTTTCCTGCCCAGTGCAAATTCTTTACTAACAACACAGACAGGCCCCAGTGGGATCAAACATCACTTGAACATCCAATCTCCAGATGCCACGGCCTCTCTGGGGACGTCAGTGACCCAAGAGCTTACTCGTTAAAGCTAAAGTGCTAATGAAAAGTCGTCCTGAGAAGTGGGCGGAGCCTGAGAGTACCTTCCAGGTCACTTTTACTGGCTCCAATATCATCTACCCCTTTGAAAGTCAAGCTTTACAAGACCCGCGGCGGACCTGGGAGCGGCCATATGGTAGCCCTCGCAATCCCAGGCTCTCCCGTTTGTGTACTGTTGCTACGGCAATGGAACCCAAGGTCAGAGTTCAGTGGGCGGTGGGCTATAGATCACAGGACTCATAAATGTCCCCGGGTAGCAGACTGGAGCCAGGCCTTCAGGTGGCAGGACATCGGGGACCTCCAGCGTGGACTTCTTCATTCACCTTCAGACATCCATTGAGGAGCATAGACCCCCCCCCCCCATAAAAGCCCCCCCACATGTTTTGGTGTGTACAGAGGCCAGTATGCCTCCTCTGTGCCATGTGAGCACTCAGCTGAAGAGAGGTTTTCACCCTGAGGGAGGTTTCTATGGCGTCACAAGGTCATGTTCAAGCTCTTGCAGGCCATGAACAATGCAGAGAATTCTCTGGCGGACCAGCACTGAGGTCAGAGGTCACAAGTGCATGTTTAAGTACAGCTCTCCTTAATCTGAGCTCCCTGTCCAGCTTTCGTTTAATGTGCCGCACTGCTTTATAGCTGGCCAATCCGTGCGATTTTTCCTCCTTCGGCTCTGCACATGTGTAAGTATCCAACTGTGAAATAGTTAGCAGACTTTGTTAGTTCTTCCTTAGGCAGTGCCAGTCTCAACTTCAACATTTCTTCAATCTCGGTGCATATCTATTAAAACCATGGTGAAGATATACAGAAGTAGGAAAAAGGAAGAAGGTTCTGTAGACTCTTCCTCTTTAAAGGAAGCTCTGAACGACGGGACCTTTCTGGAAAGAACGTTCTCTCTTCAAGGACCATCAGCACAAAGACATCCTGTGAGATCCTGAGAGTTCTGCTCAATCAGCAATCTGTGCTCTCTTGTTCCACCTCAACTGACTCTCACTCTGAGCCATCTCTGCCTTGAAGCATGGCACACAAAGTCACTCTTTCGAGCTAGAAAATCTCTCTCTCTCTCTCTCTCTCGCCTGGAAACAGGAAAGGAAGCACTTCAGGAAATGATTGTGCACATTTTGGAAAACACGGCGTAAACATTTTCACCGTTGGGGAGGCAGGGGGGATGGGGCACCAACATTGTCTTGCCAGGGGTGCGGTGGGGTGAGGTGGGCCAGGGGGGTGGGGGTGCAGAGTAATATCTCAACCGATTGCATTCCGAAAAGGCTGCTAGTCAGAATGAGACTTCCTCCGGGTTTCCCAGAATGCATCAGCAGATGACTGTCACTGGTGCA